TGTTCTTTACTAACTTGACTATCCCTAGATAGACAATCAACACTGTTTATAGGTCAGTGGCCTTTGGTCTTGCCTTTTTCTGATGCTGAATGCATAAAATCTACAAGAGAAGCAAAACAATGAGCCAGAAAAGTGAAATGTTTTGCTTCTTCATGCTTTCCACTCTGCAAACAGGTAAGGATGTAGGTCCCATTGGTTTAAGGAGTCACGGCTTGAGCTCAGAACTCCCTAGATAGAAAGTGAAGTAATCTAAGCACTACCTATTTTTATAGGCTGAGGCATATTTGAATGGCTTTCTCTGTGTCAGCACTTGTGAGCGTTCCCCTCGGGGTCAGGTGGCATATATGAATGGATGGATCCTTATAGTTCTGAATGAGGGTTCTTAAAGAGGCTTGTGAAAAGCCCCAGCTGTTACACCAGTTATTTAAACAGATTTTTTTATCCATATTTAGGTCAATATACAGCACGAGGATTGAATTTCAAAGGATTCGATCAAGAGCTGGGGCCAAAGAAACATTTAATCACAAGAGAGGAGTCACAAGAACTTCATTTGATTTATTAAAAAAGAGAGCAGTTCTAAAACAGCTCCTTGTTTTTACGTTAGATATTTTCCAGCAGCCTTAGTTTGTATTTAAAGACCTCTGTCCCACATGTTTTCAAAAGAAAAATAATATTTAACCTAACTTAGTCTTTCAGCAACCTTAAGTACAGTATAGATTTTCATCCTTTCCATGGAAGCAGTATCTCACCTAGCTTCTAATATCATGTTTGTGGAATGAGGACCCAAGTGGAGAGAAACGGCAAAGAAAACAGCCATAATAATAAAAAACAAAGCAGAAGATCAAATACTGATGACATTGATCGGTTAGTTAATTAGGGGAAATGTGGAAGATCTGCAATGGGAGGAAGGCAGGGAAGCTAAGGGAGGAAGCGTAATTAACACAAAGGTGCTGAAGTAAGACTCAGGGAAAAAAAGATCAACAAACAAAATAGGAAAATCCATAATTACATAAATACATAGATGAAAGAAGAAAGTAGAATTCTAAGAAGAAACTAATCACAAAAACATTGAAATGAAATTGGAGAACCCTTATGCCACTTATACACAACCTAATATGACAAGAGGCCTTTAAAAAATATGATGATAATAATAATATGTGCGCCATATTACATTATTCAAGTTAAAGTAAAATTTTGAGCAAAAATCCAACATGAACAACTTTTAAAACAGCTGAGGAATTTCTGCTGTCTTTGTTTTTCTGTTTTAGACATAAGGTGCTATTTCCAAATGGTTTATTCCAGGACAAGATATGAAACCCCCTCTTGGAGTTTCTGTTGATAAAACGGTACTTCAGTAGGGACAGAAAATATACTTTCACCTCCAAAATGCAATAGAGAACAACAAAAAAAAATCTTAAGTTGGGTTTGTTATTGAAATATATTCTTAAATAAAACTTGGACATATTGATTATAAAAATGAGATTTCTGTGTTTTCATAAACATGTTTTAAGTGTGTTTGTTGACACTAACTGGAACTTTCTTCATAAATTGTATCAGGGCTTCTGAAAACATTAGCTTCTTTATCTTCTCCATCTTTAACTGCACCCTTCAGGAATCACCATAGCTCACCATCTGTGTTCATCTCATCACCTCCACCTTCTATCCATGTCTATCTTCACTGCATCCACAAACATTCTCTGTGGTATTTCTCTTTTTTCCAAACCCTTTGCAGCAACTCTATCATCCTTTATCCAATTTATCTACCACCCCTTAGACATGTCACTCTAAATTTTGCTTCAAATGTCTCAATCTGAGCCATTTCTCAGATAAACTAGAATTTGTCTCTGTTTTGGTATCTTCCAGAGATAATCTTTGCATTTTTTTTACTTTTCCTGTTACAGCCTGACTTATGTACTTATCTGTTTTTCAGTGATTTATTAATGCTGTTTGAAATGTATGTTTGCAAAGCTTTTTCTAAAAACATAAACATATTTTAATTGCAGAGGTCTTTCCAATGCATTTAAAGACTGTTTTTGGTTTACAACTAATAAATATTTAGTTGTAAATGTATCTGTTCTAAATTTTGTTTGATTAATCAGTTAATGGTTGGATAGGGAAAGGAGCTTTTTATGATATATTTTTTTAACAGATTAACTATACAGTTAGAGAGTTTGGGATGGATGGATATAACATGTTTAAAAAGAAGGAAGAATTCTGTTGTGTTTTTATTTTCATGTAAAAAGAGCAGTCACTAATTAAATAAGACTCTTGTATCTGTAAAATAAATAAATACATTTTGAAGCATGTGACATTTCAGTAGTTCGTAACTTTAACAATAAACAGAGACTGAACACACTCACTGAAAAAAGATTCTATAAAACACAACTTAAAATTTATGGAACTTTTATTCTATTTGGCTAAAAAATAAACAACAACAAAAACACCACAAAAGGAAATACTTTTTTGGCATCAGGACTAGAAATACACAATCAGCCACAATCAGCCACAACTTTCTTGTTTATTTGTTTGATACTGGATAATCAAATAGTGAAAATAAAACAGTAAAACAAAACTGTTTAGTAAAATAAATAAATAAATAGATAAATGTTATCAAATGTCAAGTGATCGGGGGGGTGAGGATATTTAACATTAGGCAATACTAGGCAGTTGTCTAGGGCCCCAAGTTCCTGGGGCCCCATAAAACTCTGTTTACATGTATGGTTAATGCAACTATTCCTTATTTGTGCACATTAATTATGTTTCTGATAAAAATCCTTTCACTAACATGCCATCAGAATGCTTATAATATTAAGTTTGTCTCAGGCCCTTCAGTATCCACCATATTGGATCAGTCCATTTGCTGAAAGGTCCAAACAGACAGCAGAAAACCATTTGAAAACATATAATGTGAAGAGCAGTGTTGCCAACTATGCACTTTTGTCGCTATATTTAGTGACTTTTCAGACCTTTCATTTCAAAAATGCGCCTAGTGCCAAATCTAGCAACTTTCTTCTGCTAGTGGAGATTTTGGTGACAACATATAAAAGCAGCGAACTCTGCTCTACAGATCAAGAAGATTCATAACCCCGCCTCCTGCTCTCTTGTCTGCTGTCATGATTCATGCAGCTATTATTTCATCCAAATGAAAAATGGAGAACAGATAAGCAGATCATGGCTTGTCTACAGTAAAAATAAGGACTATGTTATTCACTTTTGCTGTCGCCTTTTTGGAAACACAGGAAGAAGCAATCAGCTAAGTGAGCTTAGTGCTTGGGAAAAATCTTTCATTCCTTTTGAGACAGCATGAAAATCAAAAAGCGGGACAAAACGTAGAAAAAATTATGTATGTCTATTATATTAAAAATTTCTGGATGTTTATAATGGGTCTTTTGTGTTGTCTTCACAGTTCAGAGGGCCCCATCCCTGTCTTTGCCAAGGGCCCCAAATTTCCTAAATCCGCCCCCGGTTGTGACTGCTGCATATTTAATGATTTGTTAAACCTGAACAAGGTAAAAACTGGTTATATTTCTGGAATTCCTCCCATTAGCTGGATATATTGTTGCATCACAAAGTGTTATACTAAAGATATCAGTTTGTTAATAAAAAAAAAGATCTGATTGAACTTTTTTCTTTCTTAATCAATAAATGTAACCCAAATAAGAAGTCCTACAGTAACAGCTGTTTGGTTGGGACTCCTACATAAATTCCTGTAATCCCTCCCTAAATTTCCCAACATTAAATTGTGCCTTTTGCACAGGAACCCCCACCCTCCCTCCCCGTTAACCCACCACCCTACTGCCTCTGAACTTCATTAGCATTCTATTAATAATACAAACACGGCTAAGCACATGACTAACACTGCAAGTGTGAAGTGTGTTTCTGATCATGCTTGCCTGCAATTTTGTGCATGCACAGTGTTTGGGATTGTCTGTCTGTGGAGGCAACATCCTCCAGCAGGGAGACCTGGCATACTGTTTAATTATTCAAACATAAAACCTGTGCAAACACAAACACACAAATTTTAACCTCCCTCCAACACACCCTGTGTCCTCGCCTCTCTGCTCGAATCCCTGTGTCCTGCACCTTCTCGTGCCACCACAACCCTCCTCTTCCTCTCCATCTTCCACCCCCTGTTCCCTTTTGTCAGTGTGCGGCGGCCTGAGCCCTCAGAGCTGATCTGGTCTGGCATTTGTAGAGAGAGGCATTTTTCTTTCCCCCTGCACTGCTGCCGATGTTTATCATAGACAAACAAGCACACAAGGAGGAGGTGACAGAAGAGCACGGAGGAAAGTAGGCGACAGAAGAGGAGGAAGAGGAGGAGGAACATGGAGAGCTTCTGGTGAGATGGGGAGGAGGAAAGCAGTTTCAAGGTTGTAATTGAAATCTAATTATCACCTCAAGTCCCAGCTGAATCCGTGTTAGGAGCAAGCTCACGCTCCATGAAAATGTCTGCACGTGTACCCTTACAATCACCAAATTTATTCCGGTCAACATCTGGCGCCTTCACACACTGATAATCCTCCTTTATGTCCCAGAGCAGTGCAGGACCTTCTGCCTCTCTCCCACACGTGCCACCCCCCCCACCCCCCCTATGGACAGGACATCTCTCCCTAAATATAGATATATGCATCTGTTCATTCATGCAGATGCAAACACAAACGCCTAATTGCAGAGGAAGGGGTGACAAGCTCGCCTGATTTCTAATTGCATCCTGGTGATGACTGCTTTCACACATGTGCAACGTCATCACTATCGTATTGTCAACGTCAAAGCACAAACACACAGATGCATGCATGCAGAGTGCACAACCAAACAAACACAGAGAAACATGTAGATCCAAGGGCGTTATATTATATGGGGCTTGCACTGTCCTGACCTGGAAATGATGGGAGGGTGTGTGTGTGTATGGGTGGGGGGGGTCATGGACTAGAGGATGGGAGATGGATGGATGGATGGATGGATGGATGGATGGATGGATGGATGGATGGATGGATACTAACTGGCTTTTCCTGGCCGTGGTCTCTGTAGGAGCCGCTGAGCTGTCAGCAGGTCCTCGGTCTTCACGGCCTGGAGCAGCTCCTGGTCCTTCCCCATGTCCCCTCCGTCCCGCCCCGGTCCACCCGGTCCAGCTCTCTTCCTCTGAGCGCCCCTATCTCCTCCGTTAATCCGCCGCTACATCCTGTCGCCGCTCCCCGGCCTCCCGCTGGAGCTTGCGGATGTTGGGACAGATGGATGAATGGTGGAAAGAGCAGGATGCCCTGGATTCGACCGCAGCCTCCAGCGCGGGTCGCTGTCGCACTTCCAACGTAGAAATAATAAATAAATAAAAAAGGCTCGATTCCACAGACTCTCTAACTAACCCACCGTGACGGATTCACCGGGTCTGCGTGCGTCTTGTGCGTAAAAAAAAGAAGGTGGAGCGTAAAGAGCCCTCGTGCACCTTTGGGTCAAAACCTTCCTTGCGCTCCGTGGATGTTTGACGTGTCACCGTCGCCTCAGTACCAATGTGGATCGGATCTGGCCACGCACGCGCACTGACACGGCAAACGGTCACAGTTGGGCAGTATTTGTTACACTGGCGTGCAGGTCCAGCTGTTGAGCTGCTGCTGCTGCAGCAGAAGTTGGAACCAATCGTGAGGCGCATGCATGCTCAGCGCGCGCCTGGAGCTGCTGGGTCACCTTCTTCAGATAAACAGGTCAAGCTGGATGATGTAGTGCAGCAGAGATTCAAAATGCCACAATGTTCAGTCTGTTTTTTGTTTGTTTGTTTTTACCAGGGGCGGTTCTACACCAAGAGGTAGCAGATAGAAAGGGGTGCATCAATTTATTGGCCACCTTTTTTTCATTTTGGGAGATGTCTGATTACCCATAATTAAATGTTTTCATTTATATTCTAAAGCATAAAGCAGTATTTGCAATTCATATGAGTTTTTATTGTTTCACATTTTCTTTTTAATAAAATGAGATAGAAACATTCAGGTTGTGTTGTGATCTTTTAACAACTATTATAAAATAAAGGTGTCAGTCAAATTGGATTAGCATCTCAGGCTGTGGTTGTCAACCAGAAAGCCACAGATAACCGGTGCATACTATTCAATAAATAATTAGGGTTTTTATCCATCCATTCATTTACCGTCACATTTGATCCCTTCCAGGGTCACGAGGAGTGTTGGTGCCTATCTCCAGCTGTCTATAGGCGAGAGGCAGGTTACACCCCGGACAGGTCACCAGTCCATCGCAGGATAATGAGTGTTTTTAATTAAGAGTAATTTAATTTGAATGTGCTTTACTGGAGACATCCATGTTGGTCAAAGAACACTACTGCCACATCACGGTGTGGTATCGGTAGGGTTGGGAATTGAAAAGATTTTCACGATTCCGATTCCCTTTTCGATTCTATGAAACGATTCGATTCTTTATCGATTCTTTTTTCGATTCCAATTTGGGGGAAAAAGGAGAACAAAAAGTTTGATTATCAGAATCAACTTTGTTTACTTAACTATTGCACAATCTTACAAACTCAACAAGATCAAGATGTCCACAGGAAATGTGAAACTGGAGTAACATCTGTGTTTAAATGAAAAATGAATACAAGAACAAACGTAATAACCAACAATGTCTAATAACAAATGATGGGATAATAACCTATTTTAAATAACAAAAAATACTAATTATAAAACAGTAGTAGGGAAAATTAATAGTTCTTTGCAGAAAGATGAGCATATCTGCTTTTTCTGGAAGGATACGGGATCTTTCAGGGCTTATGGTGTCTGCAGCCGTGGAGAACACCCTCTCAGATGGGGTGGAGGAAGCCTGCACACAGAGGTAGTTTTCAGCCAGTCCAGATAGCAAGGGCAGCGTATCTTGCTTGTTCCACCACCACAGTGTGGCGCTATCCCTGCAGGGGATGGAGGGCAAGCTTTTATAGAGCTGGATTTCCTGATCTACCCTCTGGGCTAAGGAAAGACGAGGCTTTGATTCACAAAGTGACCGCAGCTAGTTGTCTTCCTCCTCGAATAGTTCTTCCAACTTGCGTAACTTGCGTAAGTTGCGTAACTTACGTAAAAAACGTGACTCTAGGCTCTGGTGCTGCGGGAATCGAAAAAAGAATCATTCAGCGAGCTGCCAAACGATGCCATGGAATCGGAAAATACGGAACCGGTTCTTAACAGGAACCGGTTTTCGATTCCCATCCCTAGGTATCGGCTGTTGATCAAGTCCCAGTGCTCTATTTGGTGTTTGTCACAACGTACTATTATCCAAGTCATCTTGAAAACATTCCACTTCGAAATGTTGGCTACATATTATGTGTTTTTTTTTCTCTGGCCAGAAGATCGGAGGCAAATCCTCCCTCTTCAAGTTGGCAATCAGACGACAAACCCATCTGTGGAGGATCATGAATCGGAAAGGTGAAATAACAATTTTGCAGCTCCCAAACTATAAATTGGAAATACGATTGTTTGTTTTGTATGACAGAAAGGCATTGAAGAATATTTTTGAGGTGGAACAACTATTTTCAATGTCACCATGTCTGATTTATAGGTGATTAAACAAAGAAAAAAATGAAAAATATTTAGCCTTGACGAATTTTTTTCCAAAATAAATGCTGCAAAACACCATGAAACCCCATTTGAAACTCTGGATGAACCCTCAGACCTTATAGATCCACATCTTGACTAGCCTGAAGTAGTCCTACTCAATTCTAGTCAGAACATGAGTCTGATACTGCTCCATAGAGCTGTGATTATGGGGCGTGTTTTGAACGAACCAGGAAAAAAATGCCTCTGCACTCAATTGGATAGACCTACAACCAATAAGAGCAACGGAGTGCGTGAGGTATGTTAAGCCACGCATTGTTGTTGTCAACAAAAATCAAAGCGTGCAGTTGCACGCCTAGAATAAGAAGATGAGCCTTGATCGCGTTTCTCTGTTCCTCTTTTAAAATTAATTTGCTGTTGATATCTTCTAGAACAGACCTAATAGCAGAATCTACTCACCTCAACTCTACGGCGGCAGCCATTGTTGTTGTCACCCAAGCGCGCTTTGGTCACGTGGTTGATTACGTTACTGTTGATCATCTGTCCATCATCGTATACAGCCCGCCCTGACAATTTGATTGGATCGCCAGAGAGTGGGCGATCATACTCGCGCTCGCTTCTGTCAGTGAGCCCCAGGGCAGCTGTGGCTACAATGTGGCTTGCCACTATCAGTGTGTGAGTGTGTGTGTGAACGGGTGAATGAATGTAGTGTAAAGCGCCTTGGTCAAGTCTCCTAACTTGAATAAAGGCGCTATATAAGTACATGCCATTTACCATTTTACCATTTTACTATGGAGCAATGCCAGACCGAACTTTCCCGACCTCAAACCTTGTGGGCGGGACTAAGTTCGGAATGGCACCCATGCTACATCTTGACTATAACTCAGGCTAATTTGGACTGAATAGGTTGAAGCATGTTTGTTCCACAAAGGTTTTAGTGGGCAGTGTGCTAGGCGAAAATGTGATTTTGGCACAATCGCAAAAGTGCAAAAATGCATTTTTCCACTCATAAAATGGATTCTGGTCAGACCAATATGTTGATTTACACTATTGGAGACCTTCTGCATAAGACAAAGCCTTTGAACCTAATATTCAGCTTTTGTTTCATTGAAATGTACCAATAATGTCACCAATCTGAATAGTAAATAAGAATAACAGAGCAAGCTTATGTAATGCATGCCGGTAACATCACCAGAAATGGTCACACAATTACCTCTGACCCCTACCTGGAAAGGTCTGAGCCTGTTTCCAATAATGCCGGCCATTAGGGGGTGTGGCTAAAACTGAATACCTGCTGTTGCATTATTCCTGCAGAGTCACACATGCCAAGTGGAATTTTAAATATCATTATATTTGTTGACACAACTATAAAACAAAAAGTACTTGTGAAAACATAATTTTGAAACATGTTTTAGGAATTCTAAAACCCTATGTAAGAGGCATGTGGATGAAACACCATGTGACTGTGTTGTAGTCATTTCTCTAAATAGAAAAACATGATATTCTAACATTCAGAATCTATGAATCTGAATGTTGTGGCGTACTGTTACTGAGTTATCCAGAGGACACTCCTTCAACCAACCAAACACATATTAAATCACAAAGATGCCATTGCTAATAAAGCAGGAAAGTTTAAAGGGAGGAAAAAGTGTTGTAGCAACAACTCAACAGGTTGTTGCAGGATGTCCGCTCCAATCTGATAACAAGCTGTATAGAAACAATTTTCCAATAGGACTTGGCACCAATACACTAAAAATAACCAATACAAGCTATGATGACCATGATATCATTAGGCTTGATGGATCAACTTAAATGGCATGACCTTTAAGTTCACAGATTGTTTTTAGAGCATTGCCATGACAATTATAAGAGACACCAGAGTAAACAATGTAGAAAAGTAGAAAGCTATTTTATAACCATTGGGTTTCCTTTAACACCTCATCAGTGTCACTAGCTGATTATCCGCATGTTAAGCTGTACTGATGCAGCAATGCATGCAAAGGAATCCCAGACGTAGTAGAATTTTTACTGTACATTGACAAAACCTTTCTATATGGTTTTCATAGAAACAGATTGTTACTTTTCATTAAATGTACAAGTCATTGTACTGCAGCGATTTAACAAGTCGCTGCAGCTCATAACGTAGACACAAATTTAATTAATTAAGGGGCTCAACCACTCAGCTTCTGACTAAATATATGAACTGTAGCAGTGGGGGCTCTACCCAATGATTTACTAAAAAATAATAATATGGATGATACCAATCTGGTTAAATTATGTTTCCTACCTCTGCTTCCTAGCTTCTATTCCGTCACCTTCCCTGGGGTCAACAGTAAGAACACTATCTAGGGTTGGAAAGGAACTTCAGACTGCTGTGTCAAATTCAGCAGCCTTATGGATGACATTATGAGATCAAATTGGAAATGCATGATGTGTGGGAAAAAAATGCGTCTAGAGTCTACCAAAAAAGATATTCAAAGCCAAAGTTAGCCAAAAGCACTCCTTTATAAAAACCATACATACTATTGCATGTGTTACACACATTACACATAAGGAAATAATGTATTTTTGCTAAGCTCTATGAGGGGGACTATGCCTGTATTTCCTAACACCCAGAGGATTGTGGGCAACTGTGTAGCTCCTGTGCAGTGGATAGGAACGTTTGGAGGTCCCTGTGACTGATAGCATGCATCCTGCATCCCTTTCCTACCTCCCTTTTCACAGGAAGAATTATTTGGACAGCACTTATCACACTTCCTCTTTGGCCCTAAGTGTCCTTAAAGCCCATGTTTTGTAGCATGCAACCAGGAAACTATGGAATACTGGGGAGAAAAAAGAACACATCTGTTTTTTGTAACTGAAATGTATATTTCAACTAACAGCATTTTTTATTTACTTAAAAAGAAATCAGTTTAGGGCCCATGTATTTATTAATGTATTCAATTACTGAATTGTGTCATGATTGATTTAAGCGAACTGACCCACATGCAGAA